TGCTAGTATGTAATAACTTGCTAACATAGACACCTTCTTGTTGAAGCCAAAATATTTTTAGCTTCTCAAGCATGTTTAGAGCTTTATGACACGAAATTTTTTGTATTTCTGTACTATCATCCTTATGATTATTTTCTTTATCTCCTTGTCTAATTGTAGCAATGATTTCTTCTTCAGTTAAAACATACAAGATTTGTTGCTCATTTGGATGATCAAGGAAGACATTAATATCTATTAGATTATTGTGGTGAAATTGTCGAATCTGATCACTCAATTTTGCAATGACTCTTTTATTTTTCTCGTCCACTTCATTTGTAACTTGCAATTCATCAAAATCGAGAGTCCTAATTTTGCAATGCTTAAAACCATTGGCAATTGTCTATAACTTCACATCAATTGACCATGCATCAACTGTATTTATAGTTCTATCAATGACACTTATCTTTGTTGGTTCCAAGACACAATCTTCAATCAATTTAAAAAGTAGGCAATTGAAGCGCTGAATTGAAATCCTAATACTATTAAAATATGAATTGAAATCCTAATATTGTACTACTAAAGCATGGATTAAAAAATAAGAAATCAAAACTATAATTTTTGTAATTACACCTCCGTTAATTTATAACCTCCTTATAGTAATAAAATTAGTTAATCTCACCATTATGACTATAAAGAGGTTTTACTGTATGAAAAATATTGTATAAAAATATTGTATATGTAATATTACTCATAATATAATACAGCAAAGATTTCAGGCCGCAATTGAAGGATTGAACATTGCAATTACTGCTTGGAATTTAGCAGCTACCTTTGGTTGTAGCATTATGTAATACAAGCAGCAGCCATTCGAGATTCTGTCGGTTTTAGGACTTCATTAATTAGAATTGGCCTTTCGGACATTTCTATACCCTCTCGAAAAAGATGGTGTCCTTCATTATGAACTACAAGAAAATTATTGTCGTGAATAAGATATATTTAGTATTGTTTAGTGTAATTATGCACTAAATAAGAATGTTTCTCGAGCTTGAATTGGATAATAAGTTAAATTGGTTGAATTGTATAATATAAATTGGATCCAATACGTAGTTCATATATGTATGTACATATATTAAAACTAAATTGTTACAAAAGAAATACACGTAAGGACATAAATAAAAAAATTATGGATAGAGTCATATTTTCACTGTCTTCTCCAAAGCCTTCCATAAGTTAAGAGATCTCACATTCAATAACAGTTGAGAGTTAAAACTCTCTCAGATATTGTTGACAGTAACAAACTCATTAACCTTCGATCTTATTTTTTCAAAATTTAAGTATTCTGGATTTATGTTTTCAGATGAATTTAAAGTACCGTCTTCTTCTGAAATTGTAAAATTTGGAACCCTTTTTGAACCATCAATATAACCTTCAAGATTATTGGAATGAATGTTAGGAAGGAAGGACTTGAGTTTTCCATATCACATAATTGCCTCCAGCAGCTAAAGAAGTTTATTAAACGATGTCGACAGAATTAAAGTATTATTTGAACCAGTTGAATAATTTGAAGAGATAAGAGTTTTTAACTCCTGCCAGTGAAGCTCAAATGGCTCTGATACTAACTTAAAAGAGTGAAATAACAAGTTAAATAGAATTTGAAACTGAGAAAATAGCAAACACTTTTTCCAAATAATTTCTCCGACAACACTAGTTTATATACAAGTCTTAGAACATCCAAAATCTTAGTTTATATTTAAATATTTTTTTTTTTTTTTTAAATAAACCCATGAATTAAATTAGCCAATATTCCTTATTCCATAATATAGATAAACTTATCTAAAAATATAAATAAGATCTAAAGTTTATTTATTTCAAAATCTTTGAAATATGTTGATCACTAGACCAGCCAAAATCGCTTTTAAATAGTTAATCACATGAACACCGTTGCTTCTATGAAAAGCAAAATAGCTTTTAATTTAAGATTAAAATATAGAATATTGATTTTATTTTGAAAGAATATAGTGTTAAAAGATATATAAAATGTCAAAAATACATTTAGTATATAAAGAAGCAAAATAGAATTCTATTAATTTAAATTGGGTTGAAATTTTACTTTTCTGAAAAACTTATGAATTGCTCGAGTAGGATTTAATGATATTATCCATGCTCGAGTTGACTTTTTATATTTTATATGGGTGGTATTGATATTTTACAAAATATCCACCTGAGCTACGTTTATATCAATATACCACACTCAAATGATTGGATTCGAGCAACTAGACTCTAGTTACTCGAGTTTTAGTTCTTCCTCTTGAGTTGAGATTGATCATTCAGATAGATGACAATAAACTATTGAGTTCAGATGTTAATAAACTATATGGAGAGTTATCAATCAAATAATCTTACTGATCTATTAAAAACAAGTAGATCTACGCCAAGGGTATTTGCAATGTGTCAAGAGAAATTAGTATGAGAAGTTGTGGATACACTTCTAGATAATGGAATATGGGAACAACCAATAAGGGATGGTCATAATAAGATTTATAAGTCATTTTCAAATATAATTGAAGGCAATGAAGGAAGATCATTCGAGTCGTTTTGTCATTGTCAAAGGCCCCTCACTTTCATTACATCGATGTGGATTTCTTTGTGAAATATAAACTTTTTCCAAAATAAAAAAATAAAATTCTTCCAATTAAAGTGCTCAAAGTGATTTTATTTTTTCCTAAATATGCATCGTTTCAAGAGAATAGGGAGTTTTCAATTATTATCCTCTTCTTATTTTTTCTTGAATTCTTAAAACGTTCAAACCCATATTCATGATTCTAAGTTTGAGGGAAAAAGAATTTAAGAAATTTGTTGAGTTAGTAAGTGATGGAAAGGTAAAATAGACTTTTAATTTAAAAATTAGATACCATAACATATCACTAACACGATGAAAGTGTTTTTAATTTTTTTAAACAAAGTGGATGAGTATGACATTAATTGATCTCATGGGGGGTAAAAAAAATGTATCAAACATAAGAAATTTATTAATTAAGGCCAATGAGAGGAGATATCAAACAATTTCTCAAATGTGAAGGAAGGTCAGGGATAATTTTTAATACATGTGGGGTTTGATGACTAAAACTGAAACCTGAGAGGAAGGTATCGGATAATAATCCTTTCAAAACACTTAAGAAAAATTGACTATGGATTACGTCCCTAACCTTGACTTAAAAATATGTATATGTGATGAACTTCAAAGAGTGCTCTTAGTGAATGCTGGTTCAAGGTGATTGACATAAAATCCAAACTTTAGAGCTGAACATTGATGATTCAAGGAATTCGTTCAACAAGCAGGCTACTGAATGATTCGGCCCAATTTTTTCGATGAACCAGACCACGATGATAATGGTAGCCTAGATTTCTCGGAGGTTCTCACTTTTTTCTACGTGCTAAAGACTCGTAGTGTATGTTGCGATCATTGTAGAGCGTTTCAGACAAGGTTATATTTTAGGAGTGTTGAATGCTTTGAGTGTGGTGATGATTCATATGATCTTTGCCTTTCTTGTTACCACCGACGAAAATTTCAGCACCACCACACCGTCTTCTTGGATAACTTCGTGATGCTTATGAGAAAGCATCCTACGTTTGCATCAAAAATGTCTTCAGTAAGTAAGAAATAAATAAACTATTTTTAGTTAAGAGTTTACTTCAATATTAATGATTTGGTTCTTCTTTTTATATTCAAGAACTTGATAGCTAGCTTAAAAACAATAATGCTACGGACACCAATTTTTTTACACTGAAATCTTGTACCGGCCTACGTGTTCCGTAATTTACACCAACAAATCAGACACGTTTCACGTTATTAATTTTTTTTTTCTAGTGAACGGCTGTTCATCAACTATGGACGACCGTTCACTTACGATGGACTCCCATTTATATTATATGAACGGAGGTCCATTTACTACAGACGCCCGTCCATAAACTGTGGACAGACGTCCCTTTAAGCAGGGGCGGATCCAAAGTGTATTAAGGCCCACCCTCAATTTTTAAAAAACAAAAATTAAATACATTATTCCATTTAGTTTGATTTTGGCCCACCCTTAATTTTTATTGTCAAATATTAAAAAATTATGGCCCACTTTCAATTTTAGAACTAAAAATTTCTGTTTGGCCCACCCTAATAAATATTTCTGGATCCGCCCCTGCCTTTAAGTTTGGAGGAATGGACGCCCGTCCTTTTCGTTCTTACTCACACTCACTCCCGTCTTCCAAATATCTTCAATCAGTTTTGCACATTCTCTCATCTCACTCTTACTCATGGCTAGTATCTGATAGACTCCAAAATTCTTCTCCTGCCTGGGTCAATATGAGTGAGACACAAGCTACCAGGTATGATGGATGGATTGATCAGAACATCTTTGGTGAGAACGGGGTCAAGGGAATCAGAAAGAGGGACTTCTACTTCTTTGAATGCAGTTAGGGAATTCTTTCTTAGCCATCCTGTCTTTCCTTCTTTATTTTAATTTAGTAACCCACGTGCAATCTCCTCCATTCTTGTGGGTCATAAGAGAAAATCAAAATGAAGAGGAAGATGGAAAAGACCATCGGATGTCTTCAACTAAAACTCCTAAGTCAAATGGAAAATAAATATCCTTATGAAAAGACCATTAACTATCCTTCTAGATTGTTTACTAAAAACTCTTATCTGATTAATTGTCTCGAGAGATGTATTAATTGGAGTACCTGTAAATTAGCTCGAACTAAATTCAGTTACTACGTTAGTAAATGGTAACGTGAATTAATGGCATATTCAAATTAAAAAATTTCCAACTTTTAAGAGAAAGGTCCATTACCTCAAAGCCTCAAAAAATAAAATAAAATTTTTTATAAATTAAAAGTTTGCAAGGCTAAAAAGACAAAAATACTGTATCTTGAAAAGCACAAAGCAAACCAAACCAAACATCCTTTCACTTTCCACCGTCTAAAGACTCTAAAGTCTAAACCCATTTTCTTCTGTTTCTTTCTGGCGGGAAGGAAAGGAATGAACCAAACACACCTGAGCTTATAATAAAAACCCTAGAACCTTGAAATCACTGTGTCTCATTTCCACCCCAGAAAATTTAACAAGAAAAAAGAAAGAACCAACTATTTTCTACCATGTACTGGCTAGCTACCAGAAACGCTGCCGTTACATTCCCAAAGTTGCGCTCACTTTCTCTGTTCCTTCGTTCCCCTGTTCTCAGTCACACTCCATTTCGCCCCTCCTCACTGTTTCTGTAATCTCCATTCTCTTATGTTTCATATATTTCTCTTGTTTATTCATTTTTTTTTTCTTACTAAAAAACCACAGAGCGTATTGAGTTGGGTTCTGGGTCATGCCTGTACCACTTTTTTAATTTCGTCTTCTTTAAGAATTAATGAATTTTCTATATATAAGAAGTTTACAAATGTATTTTTCTTTTATCGTTACTTTTAAATCTATTTATATCGTTTAAAGGATAATCTCTGCATCTCAAGAGAGAAAAAGATACAAGACATGTATGAGTTTTGTTATTGTGGGAACTTATGACTTGTAAGATATTCCAGAAATTGATGTTTGCTATCGTATCTGAGTATTTGAGAATGAACAATTGAACTGTGTTTAGTTGTAACAGCAGCCGCAGACAGTTTGGTCAGATTTATTTTTTCAAAGACCGGAAGGCTTCGAGAGGGATTACGAAAGCTTCGAAGAAAGTTAAAGTATCAAATGATAATGTTCTAAATGACAAGGATCTTTCCCACTTAATGTGGTGGCAAGAGGTAAAATTCTAATTATTGTATCTTGCCAAATTGGTTCTGCTTCTTTTGTTAAAGAATTTGATTTTGAAATGTAGTTGCTTCAGTAATATCTTATTGGTATATTTCATAGGATGTTGTCTTGACTCTTGAGTGTAGTGAAAATGTGATCAAGATTGCTGATTGCTTTGTTGTGTTTCAGCTGATGACCTTTATGTGATGTAACGGCAATTATTGCATACACATTAATATGGTCTTTCCGTTACACTACCATTTCGTTTCCTTAACCAAACAGTGAATGAAATCAAGTTTCAGTATTCTTCATTGCAGTCATTGACTTCTTCCTTACATTTATGATTCTGTTAAATTCTATGAGAATTAAACCAAACATGGGCTTACGTTTTTTTTTGTCTGTTATTGTAGAGGCTACAAACTTGCCGGAAACCTTCTACTCTTCATCTGGTTAAAAGGCTCAAATATTCCAATTTGCTCGGCTTGGATGTTAGCTTGAAAAATGGGAGGTCAGCTCTTATGATGTGTGAATTAACTATGAATATACCTCATGTATCTTTTCTTCTTTGAGATAAATAATTTCACCTCCACGAACTTCTATGAAATATTTGTTGCTTTTGTGGAGGAGGTGAAAGACTTTGCATTTTGAACTGAAAAAGTATTAGCCATAATGCAGTCTTAATCTACTCGTTTCAGCACAATAGGAGTTAAATTCTAGTAGAATAAATTGGGGACAACCTTCCATCAAATTTTGATGATTGGAACCTCCACAAGCAGACTTGGCCATTGATCATGTGCATCTTAACTCTTAAATCGCACAAACAATGCAACCTTAGGTAGCCGAGACATCTACTACTTAATTACCATCTTGGTATGCATGGCACAGTAATGAGACAAGCCACAGAAATCTTTTATCCTACTACCAGAAAGACCATGATGGAGGATGGTTTAGTTGTATGAAATTTTTTGAAAAGTTAGCAGTTACTTCTAGAACAATGTGATAAGTAGCAAGCCATCACACATTTGAATACCCTCAAGGATATCTAAAATTTTAGCTTTGAAGCACATGATAGGTTCTTTCTCGATTATCATAGTGAATTGTATTCATTGCAGTCTAAAAGAAGGAACACTCAATTGGGAGATGTTGCAGTTCAAGTCTAAGTTTCCTCGTGAAGTTCTGCTCTGCAGAGTATGTTAATATTGTCTCCTCTAAGCCTTACCGCTGTTCGGTTGTATATTCTAGTTTAAAGACCAATGACACTGTTTTTCTGTTGCATCTCTGAATACTGCCTTGGTTTTTTTAATTACATATTCATCTAGGATGGATAAAGCCCCCACTTCCACCTGTTTTTGGTTGGAAAGGAATCTTTTATAGATGCTTCTGTTCGGTGTTGGTTAAGTTTAGTTGTCCAATGATCGGGGCAATACGTGCTTTATGTATCAGGTTGGAGATTTTTATGAAGCCATTGGAATAGATGGTTGTATTCTTGTTGAGTTTGCTGGTTTGAATCCATTTGGTGGTTTGCGTCCGGAGAGCATACCAAAAGCCGGTTGCCCTGTCGTGGTATTGTGTTTATTCCCTCTGCATGTGAAGTTTTATTTCTATGTGTTCTGATTTTCTTTGCATTAAGGGATTTTGATGCCAAATATTGTGAATTGGTCATGTTCTTTCCTAACTTAAGGAGCAATGGATTTACAAAAAGCCTCCAACGCCATTTGCTTTCCTTGAATTGGTTTGTACTTTTAAGCATGATGTTGAAGAAATTTTGTGCAGCTAAGTTAGGGGATGGAAATGTTTGATCTTATAAGCACTATTCAAGGTGCTAGACTAAAAAGAAAATTGCTCGGAGAGAGAATTGGCCATCTAGAACAGTCCTTGGTGATTCACTGGCCATGTTGATCGTATGATGTTTTTCAGATGAAGGGGTGCTGAAACTTTGATATTAATTGATCGGGACTGTCAGCTGTGTTCTTGATCCTCAGAAATTGGAGCAACTACTTTTTGTCTGTTTCATTTTTATTTTCTTATGATTTCAATCGTCTACAGAAGACTAATTTTAGTTTATAATTTTGCCTGTGATAGATATATATAAGTTCAATTAATGATTATGATTCCATAAAAAAAACCTTCCCTTGTTAATGTAAATTTCTTCAACAACCTAAATTAGGTTCTTTGGACTTAAGCTGTGCTGTATAGGTGTTTCTTCTATATATACTATCATAAGTTATGTGCTCCATTTATTTATTTTGTTTATTCTATTTGATTGTCAATGCTAATGATAATGTTTATCAAATATCCTTTTGCAGAATCTACGACAAACTTTGGATGATTTGACACGTAATGGCTATTCAGTTGTGAGTTTAGTGCTCATCATGATATTATGCTTCTATAATTGCGTGACTGGACATTTACTCTTTTATTCGTTTGTATTCTACCATGGTGATAAGCTCTATTGAGAAACTGAATTTCCTTATGTGATTATTTTCTCTACTAAGATGCTGTTCTAAACCCACGTTCCCTGAATCATGTGCGAATGATTTACACACAGACACTATTATTATATACCTATATACTACCATTGGATAGATAAGCCCAATTTTAGAGATTGACCTCTCTTACTGATATTTGTCCCTAATAGTAAGAAGCTGTTCTCAAGCCAGGTTCCCTGGATCCATGTGTTCCTTGTTGGGACTGGTGAAGAAGTGTTCTCAGTTAGACTTCAAGACTCTTGCTCTTGTTGTCCAACTACTAACTTTGGGGTAATAACGACATATGAATTGCCTGCTCATCGAAGCCTTGCCATTCTATTGAAAAAGAGAAGGTGGAAAGTGTTTGTCCTCGCTAATTGAAAATATTAATAAACGATTTTTTTCATTGGAATTTAGAGTGGTATGATCAAATTTCTGATTTTGGAGTTATGACAGCGAGTAGATCATGCTATCCAGAACATTAAAAAGGAAGCAATAGAAGCTTTTGTTTTGGGAGAACATTAAATAGCCTTTGGATTATTGGATATTTTATGTGGTAGAACTAACAACTGTCATCATGGCAACGATGGACTTGGAAATTTACATATATCTAGAGAAGTTAAAGCTGTAAATTAAGTCTCAATTTCTTTATACTGTTTCCTAATATTTAAATGCTCAGTTCTACTGGTCATTATCTAGGGTGGTAAGCATGGCATTTGGGCAATCAAGTTCCTGGGTTTCAGTTGTAAGAGATACCAATTCATATAAAAATGCTTAATACTAGGACATATCTGAATCACCCTGCTTAGGACCATTCTTTAGCAGGATCTCAACTGCATGATGGTTGCTGTAGAAGTATGTTGAGCGTATGCCTTGTCTATCCTTAATGACTGAAAGAAGTGAAAAATATAGACCTTCCAATGAAGATTTCCTTGGGGCCAAAGTTTAACGTCTCTATATTTTTTGGGTTATAGTCCAAGACTAATTGTTGCTTTTATGTAGTGTAATCTTCTGCAAATCTTGTGAAATTATGCGCTCGTTGTAGAGTAAAGTACTTTTACTTTTATTTATTAATTCCTCAAAAATTTTCAAAATATTTCCTGGTTCTCATGTGCATGTTTTATTTAGTCTATGTGCTAAACATATCTCCGAAGGTGTTAATAGACAGCCGTTTTATTCTTCCCCTGCCAATTAGCTTCTTTCTGCCTTTGATTACTGTAGACATGTCAAAGCATGAAGTCTATCTGACAAGTCATTCAATGGTTGTCTTTTGGCCTTTGTAGTGCATAGTGGAGGAAGTTCAAGGTCCAACACAAGCTCGTTCTCGTAAAAGCCGTTTTATATCTGGGTAATAACATGCTAACGACAGAGTATTTTGTGATTCTTTTTGTAGATCAATTCTCTAATTAAAAATTCCAAACAAACTTTTTCTTCAGTTTTCACATATCAAATTTCCAGTTGTCCTTTAAATCTTAATTTAGGATACTGTGTGATTGTCACTTTAATTATTTTAAAATGTTGCCAACTCAACTCACTGGCTAAGAGAGAGAATGAGGATCCATTCAATTACTCTAATCTGCTGCGGGTTTTGTTGCACATTTCTAAAGCAATTCATTCACAAAGTTTTCTTTAATTGTGGTGAAGAAGGGAAATTTTTTTTCTCATATCCAGGAGTATGTTCTGGTTTAATGCAAATGTATGATGTCATTTTTAAGAGATGGTGATCTGTACAGTGGAATTGGCTATAAGAAGCTAATTAGGATCTGGATATGGTTTGGTTATCACGTCTCTATTGTGTGCTGGTTGATTATTGTTAAAGTTCTGAAGTATACAAGCATTATTGATTAGCTTTTAAATTTAAATAGCAAAAGAAAAAAGAAGAATCAAATAGTAAATTAACAAATTTAAATTGGTTTCCATATTCTCTTAGAGCAACACTAGCTGGGGAGCCTCATTTTGCTTCTTTTAAGTCTTTTGTATCTACACATTTATTGACATTATCTATGTTTTATGTATTGAAAGGCATAAAGATTTTTCTCATAGTTAAATCCCTTTATTGTGGTTTAGATAGCATATCTGCATGCAACTTACTGGCATTTAATGGAGACATCAGCCATTATCTAAATTATAACCTGAAAGAAGTCATACTTTGAAATCCTAAATAGAAATAGGGTAAAAGTGTGAATGGTTTTTCTTTATATTAGAAAAATTTGGCTGAATCAATTTCACCTTAGGACATTGAGGATTCATTAAATCAAAGTCTTGTCATCAATTATTTGAATATAAGCTGTATTTTCTTATAGGATTCTAAAACATTTCAATTGTGTCAATTTTCTTTCATATTTTTGAGGCAATTGGGAGCATAGATGGATAAGTTACTTGTACTACGAATATTTAAATATTTATCAAGCAGGGTTATACATATATATACTTTTTAGCTAGTTCTCTTGACAATTCTTGGCATGCATATCTTACTCTAACTTAGATTTTTAAGTATGCAGGCATGCACATCCAGGCAGTCCTTATGTATTTGGACTTGTTGGAATTGATCACGATCTTGACTTTCCAGAGCCAATGCCTGTTGTTGGTACGAACATATTACATATTGCTATATTAAATAAATTGTTATTCTCTAAACAGTGTGTTTAACTTTTATTGTTTATGGTTATGATTTGATTTTGTTCCCTTCATTGCTCATCACCATATGTTGTCCCTTTTATGTGGTAGTTGATGTTTAGGGTAACATGTTCTTCTGCTCCATTTTCGTCATGCATAAAACCTGAATTAGGTGTAAGTTTAGTTACGTAATTTAGTCATCATTTGCTTACTTCTTAATTATTAAATCCAAGAAAATCTCCATAATGCGAAGTTGTTTGGACTCCTGTTTATCGCACATTTTATTACCTGAAATTACTCACTTTTCTCATATTTTCCCCCCTTAAATAGAAACATGTTGTGCAAGCTTATTAGATCTTTTACATGCTGATACCATAATTACATTTTCTTTCTTTTGTGCACTTGACTTTCAATGCTACTAAATTGCTTGTTTATTCTGCATGCTCTTCTGTTAAGGATTCTTGATGACTTACTCCTTCAAATTTATTCTGACAGGAATATCTCGTTCGGCAAGGGGGTATTGCATAATTTTAGTCTTAGAAACTATGAAGACATATTGTTCAGAGGATGGTCTAACTGAAGATGCTTTAGTTACCAAGCTACGTACTTGTCGATACCATCACCTATTTCTGCATACATCCTTGAGACAGAATACATCAGGTTTACATTTCTTCTGTTTCATCCCCAAAAGACATTTATGCTTTGTTCAAAGTAATGAAGCTTTGCAAGATATATCTGATGGCAATCATTGAAGCCTGTCTTAAGTGAGTGTCCAAAAATTCTGCATGAATTGTCCTTATGACATTGATGCAAGTAGACATTCATGAACTTTTTGTCTTTTGGTTGGATTACTCCTGTACAATCCTGTGTTAGGAATGTGGCCCTTACACCTTCTTTTTAACTTTCTTAATATAATATTATCTATTAGATAAAGTAAAATAAAACAGAGAGTGCTGTTAAATTTGATTTAAGTATGCATACTAAGAAATTTTAGAGAAACCCTGTTTGTTATTTATCCTCAAGTTGTTGACATCATGGCTTAAGGGACATTTCCAGTTTTAACACTTATCTTTGTGAATGATATGTAGGCAGTTTTTTAATCTTTAATATACCCTTTGTTTCTGTGGGCAACTTATTCAATATTTGTGTATCTCAAATGCAAATCTTCTTTGTTTTGCATTATAATAAAAAAAAGAATGTCTTCCACTTTTTTTTCTCTCTAAGTTGTGTATCATAAATTTGTGGGAAAGCTAATTCTTTTTTGTTTTACATATGTTATATAAAAAGATATCATGTTGCTTGTTGTATTAGAGAAAGAAAAATTTTAGTCTTAAAATTAGGGATTACTGACCTTTTATTGTCAATTTTCCCAGCTGTAAAGGATTTAATTACTTTTTCTGGATGCCCAATCACATATTAAGTTCCTTACTGCATTAGAAGTGTCATTGTAGGAACTTGCCGTTGGGGAGAATATGGTGAGGGAGGCCTACTGTGGGGAGAATGTAATTCCAGACTTTTTCAATGGTTTGAAGGCAATCCAGTCACTGACCTTTTGTTTAAGGTTCAGATTTCTAATACTATCTCTCAACATATATTAGCCTTTTTCTTTTTTGTGATTATTATATTTTTTGGAAAATAGACCTATGCTATATAGATTCTTTTATGATCCTTTAGATAAATTTTAACTTTTGTAGAAAGCTTGTGCACTCTTTTGTGATTATTTTTTCAATCAATGACATTTTCATAGTTTCTTCTCTCTCTCTCTCTCTCTCTCTCTCTCTCTCTATATATATATATATATATATATATGAAAAACGAAAATTCATCTTATACTGTAGTATTATTCTATGTTTCTCTGCAGGTGAAGGAAGTTTATGGTCTTGAAAATGAAGTTACATTCAGAAATGTTACTGTGCCTTATGAAAATAGGCCCCGCCCTTTATATCTAGGAACAGCCACACAAATTGGTTAGTGTAAGTTTATTTAGAATCTGTTATACTTAATGTTCATCTAATTTTGAGTAACATAAAGTAGTATTGCTCTGTGTGCTGCATACTTCTAGGTGCCATACCAACTGAGGGAATACCATCTTTGTTAAAGGTGTTGCTTCCATCAAACTGCACTGGACTACCTGTATTGTGAGTGAGATATTTTATTTGTGTTTTTTAGTTTTGTTTTTTTTATTTATATATATACCTGAAGAGGACTTATAATTGTTTTTTTTTTTTCTCATTTTGGATGACTTAATAATTTTGCATGATTCTAGTTATGAACAATTGGCTGTTGTTTTATTGTAGCTAATTTTATTGATTATGAGATAAAAAAGGGTGAAAGTCAAATGCACACGTGAACAAACAGACTATATAAAAGGTTTTATATGGCAGCTTCATGGGGATTTCAATAATATTTTTGCATCAGGATTCTGATATATCACTGGTCCTTCTTAAGTGTTTGTGTATAGTTCTCTTATCCATTGTCCAATGCATTGGGCTCATCTCATGGAGGGAAAAGCAAAAATGTTTTCTTGCAGCCAAGGGTCAACAGGATTCTTGAATATTTTTTCTTTGGTTTACCTTTGGCTTATGTTGGGAAGGCTAAGAGATTCTGAGCTGAATAAATTATTTGATACTTTTAACTTAATTTGAATCTTGCTGTCTATGAAACTTGAATAGTTTGAAACCAGAATGGTAAGCATGGTACAGCAGATTTAAACTATTTAGAGCAGTATAATAATATTTCACTCCTCAGTTTGTTAAATTTTGATCTCTCAGGTATGTCAGAGATCTTCTCCTCAATCCTCCTGCTTATGAGATTGCATCCACAATTCAAGGTGAGTTGTGATAAGCAATATACTTAGGTGCATCATCTGATTATAATAGAAATTTCTTTTCCTCTTTTATTTTGTGGGTAAATTTTGTTCTAAGCCATGGTCTTTGTGCAGCAATAGGCAAACTTATGAGCAACGTGACATGTTCAATTCCTGAGTTTACATGTGTTTCACCTGCCAAGGTTAGGTTTAATTACACTGAATAGCTATGATGCAAAAATAACTTTGCATATATAACTTTACTTTTGGCACTTTTCTAAATTTTTTTCGTATTTGATTCTGTTTTTAACCTTATGGCATATGCTTGATTATTTTTGGATTATATGTTGTCTGACAATTTGTAATAGATGGTAAATTTAAGAGTTTCTCATTTCAAAAATAAGGTTTTCAGTTCTTTGTAGAGTGGAGCATGCATAATATACTTTATATAAGCACACTCAGATGCAACTAAGTGATTTGCATCTAAAGCGTATTGTTGCTTTCTTTCTGGTTAACATAGAGTCATGGTAAGCTTTGTTACCAAATTATGTTACTGATCTTCAATAGCTGAAGCTCTACTTATGGTCAAAGAACTTTGTCAATGTATATAGTGAATTTTAAACAATGCAATTAGTGTGTATTAAATTTGGCTCTTCACAACCATTAGAGCTGCATGCCTTAGTTCTGACATGCTGAAAGTGCTTGTCTTTAGTACCATCTAGAAACGCTAGAGTTTTTATGCCTTAGTTTCTCATTAGAGTTGCATCCTTGCTCTAACTTTGCATGCCAAAATATAACCTTTTATGCACATTGTCATTGTTATTTCTTTTTGGTTCATTCATACTTTTGTATCTGATCCCAGTTACTTTTGTGTTGTACAGCTTGTGAAGCTACTTGAATTGAGGGAGGCCAATCATATTGAGTTTTGTAGAATAAAAAATGTACTTGATGAAACCTTGCACATGTATGGAAACTCTGAGCTTAATGAAATCCTGAAATTGTTGATGGATCCAACCTGGGTTTCAACAGGGTTGAAAATTGACTTTGAGACATTTGTAAGTATTAATGTTTTCTCATGTGTATTGTTCAATACAATGATGAAAAAAGAAATATGTACATATACTTGGAGGCTTGACTCAATTCAGATGGATTCTGAAATAAATGTTGATCAGCTCTAGAAAATTTGTAGCCCAGCTAGAAATTGGATTGAACTGTCTAGTATTGCATTGAGGGTATAAGAGGATTTTTCAGAATTTAACTATAGATGTGTTTATTTTGCATCTTAACCGGATATCTAAATTTCATTATTCTGTAGTAGAGCTTTGCTTCGGTTATTTAACTTCACCTGCTTTTGGCGCCAATTTTTATCTCTATTTTGTTATAATTGAATTTTTCGGATGCCAAATACAGTTGAGTCAGGTTTTCTGTACGGTGCTTTAGATCTCTTTTAACTTGTTACACTTAAGATCTTTGTTGTAGCAATGAAATTGCCTGGCATGTGCCACTTGTCATTCCCTATCATGTTAACTGTGAATTCCATGGCATATTGGTAGCCCTTAAAATAAATCAAATTTTGATTTGCTTACTTCTGATCATTGTTGGGTGACCTGACAAGGGGATTATGATGGACTACAATTTGATACATAGTGGAGCCCTATATGAGTAGAATGGTGCAGAACGATATATGTAGCCAACCATGAGTGATTGGCATGCAATAAGACTACTGTGGCCATATTTTTTAATTGTCAGATGTGATGATAAGCACCCCAAGATAGAGATTATTTATCTTAAGATTGCTCTGTAGAGATTTTCTTTTAACATGTTATTAAGTCTGAGATGAATGTCTTTACATTTTAAAGATTTTTTGCGGTCGTAATTCTTAAACTTTAGTATGTCATTTTAACTTAATGTTGTTGGATGGTTGGGAAGGTTGGTGCTTAGCATGTACGTGCTTGTTCTTTTGATCTATTGTTTTGGTATCTACCATGGATTTCTAGATGGTTGCTATAAAATTAATTTGAAAATTATTTACGTTGATGATGATTCTACCAAGACAATGATTTGAAAATAGTGTAATCAATATGGGTCACAATTATATTTATTGAAAATTTTGACATCTTGCATTGCAATATATGTAATTTGAGGTGTATTTGTTATCTTCAGGTTAAGGAATGCGAATGTGCTTCAGTCAGAATTGGTGAAATGATCTCTCTTGATGGTGAAAGTGATCAAAAGATAAGTTCCTATAATGGCATTCCGAGTGATTTTTTTGAGGATATGGAATGTCTGTGGAAAAGGCGTGTGAAGAGGACCCACATTGAAGAAGAAATTGCAGAAGTCGAAAAGGCTGCTGAGGCCTTGTCATTAGCAGTAAGTCTGAGAACTATACCCTTTTTTTTTTCCTGTTATGAATAGATATCTTCAATTTTATTTTTCTTACTGACATTTTCATGCTGCATTAACACTTGTGGCCAAACAAATGACATTGTTATACGAAAAGATTAATACATAGTGTCATTGTTGTGACTTGAAGGATTTGAAGTTTTACTTGATTTTTAAGCGGCTAGGCAAATTTCTACTACAAACTGAGATACTGCCATAATAAAACTTTGAAAAACAAATTTGATGAATAAGCAATTATTGTTTGTCCTTTGTGATGTCCAAATTTTATTGACATAAGCTTTAAACTTTATTGTTTTTACAAGTGTGTGCTACATCAACACAACATTGTACTTGACAAGTATTGAGATGAGTAGAAGAGGTGTGATGCTATATTATCATGTAATTTTGTGTTCCTTCCCGTGAGAAATATGTTATTTACAAAGTAGTTGCTGAGACAGTCTGCATATCATCACAACAGTAGTGCAAGATATAAAATTTTTGCTTTTTGATCCATCATTTCCTTCCTGCTAAACGTATGGTATTCTTCCTTGCATCAGTTAAATTTAAACTTCATAAATCTAAATGACATTTTCTTTTAAATTTTGATGATGCTTGCACACTCATATAAATATATGGGTTAGAACCATTGACACCACATTTTTTTAGATAAATTATGATGCAAGTTGTGAACCATTAAATAAACACTTTGAATGGTTGACATTACATTTAATTTGCAGCGCTTCCAAAATGCATTAATAGTGCATGTTATGTTTAATGTCAACCGTCTAAAGTGCATTGACTCAATGGTCTAAATAGTCATAATTTGTCTTTAAAAAAAAAAAAATGATTTCATTGTGTGTGTGTATGTATAATATATTATGTGTTCTAGCGTGTTTTCTTACCCAAATGCTTATTATATTCTCTTATATATTTGGGCATTAGGTTACTGAAGATTTTCTTCCTATTTTCTCAAGAATAAAAGCTACTACAGCCCCACTTGGTGGTCCAAGGGGGGAAATTTTATACGCTAGAGAGCATGAAGCTGTATGGTTTAAGGGAAGGCGATTTAGACCAGCAGTATGGGCTGGTACCCCTGGGGAAGAACAAATTAAACAGCTTAAGCCCGCTATAGATTCTAAAGGTAGAAAAGTTGGAGAAGAATGGTTTAGCACAATGAAGGTTGAAGATGCTTTATTGAGGTGGGTTTTTTTGTAGGATACCAGAGAAGTTTATTTTGTGATTTGTTGGTAAATTACACTATTTTTGTTGCAGGTACCATGAGGCAGGTGCCAAGGCAAAAGCAAAGGTCTTGGAATTGTTGAGAGGACTTTCTTCAGAGTTGCAAACTAAAATTAATATCCTTGTGTTTGCTTCAATGCTTCTTGTTATTGCAAAGGCATTATTTGCTCATGTGAGGTTGGTACACATTTTTAATAGATATCATATGATCTCTTAGTTTTTCTACTTACGTTAATAGTACATAACAATATATGTTATAGAAAGCTATAGTAGATTTACAGTCTAGTGGTTGATTTAACAAACACAAGCTGGAATTTCTATACTATTGATATATGTCTGTATTGGGTTATGGTAATATTCTAACCAAAGGTAGAAACTACGTTCTGATAAGGTAGGCTGTATATTCGTAATATTCTGGCGTACAAATTTCAAGGACAATGTTGTTGCCTTTGGGAGAGGAAAGAAAACTAAAACTCTTTAAAGATGTTTGTTTCTGCTATTGTTTGGCTGATGACTTGAAAATAATAACCTGCTTTTTGGTGAGAAAAGAGATGAAAGCATGAGCAAGTTGTGGAAAACAATTCACTTTTTTTATTCCTTTCAGGCTTTGGTTGCTAAGGAATTTCAAGATTCTTCATTTTTCTTTATTTATCTCAACTAGAAGGGGGTTTTGGGTTTTGGTTCAAGTGAGAAATGATGATTATTTGCTGCAGGATGTATGGATTTGTTTCTCGTTGGTTTTTTGATTCAAAGAATACTTAATACAGAGTTTGTAGTTTCTTATAAAAAACAATAGAAAAAACATATAAAAAAGAAAGAAAGAAAAGAAAGAAGAATAATGATGGTAATGGAAGAATAAAGTAGTATGCTNGGGGTTTTGGGTTTTGGTTCAAGTGAGAAATGATGATTATTTGCTGCAGGATGTATGGATTTGTTTCTCATTGGTTTTTTGATTCAAAGAATACTTAATACAGAGTTTGTAGTTTCTTATAAAAAACAATAGAAAAAACATATAAAAAAGAAAGAAAGAAAAGAAAGAAGAATAATGATGGTAATGGAAGAATAAAGTAGTATGCTAACGCTCCTTCCTGATTCTTATACTGATAGTCTTTTTTGTTTAAAAAAAAAATAACACCAAAAGCATCTTTCTGCTTGTAATGCCTACAATTTATAGGAGTGTCACCTAACGGTAAATATAAGCTAATAAAAAAAGATTTAAGTAATCCTTAAATATGATAATGATTAAACAAAATAAAACAGCTTAAAATATAAATCTTAAAACTTTGAGATTGGCCACTTAATCTGTAGAGATCTTGTAATGCTGTCTGCTATGGTTCCCTTGGGCTGGTTTGCCTGAATCCTTTCGCAATATTAACTTGTCCACTGGTTGCCATTTATTAGCAAACAGTCAATGAATAAAATCACTGATTCTTATTTAATCAACACTTCTATCTGTGTCTTTTGTATGCACGCCTGCTAAATGATTGTAAGTATTGGAAGTACCACCATGTCAATGTCATGACTTTTCCTTGCTATTTTTGGCAACTATTTTCTAATACCTCCTTTATTGTTATTTTGCAGTGAAGGTAGGAGAAGGAAATGGGTTTTCCCTACACTTGTTGGGTTCAACAGTTCTGAGGTAGTATTAAACTATTTTTTTCTCTTTATATTGATGGGAAACTGAAAAAAGTTAGTATTGATTGAATAGTTTACAAAGCAAGTAAACAAACTAAATGTGGTGCATTATCAATGAATATGTATTATTATTATTATTATTATTATTATTATTTTTATCTCTTCTATGTTTGGATATGTAATATCTGGGTATTTTTATCTAGCAAAGCATTTAAGCTGTATTTCTATGAAAACACATTCGTGGTACTTAATTTCAATGTTTGGAATGCAGACTATAAAACCACTCAACGGAGCAAATAGCTTGAAGATGATTGGTTTATCACCATATTGGTTTGATGTAGCTGAAGGCAGTGCTATTCATAATACAGTTGACATGCAGTCATTGTTTCTCTTGACGGGTCCAAATGGGGGTGGTAAATCTAGTTTGCTGCGATCCATTTGTGCTGCTGCATTACTTGGAATATGTGGATTTATGGTGCCTGCAGAGTCAGCCTTAATTCCTTACTTAGATGCTATTATGCTCCACATGAAATCTTATGATAGCCCTGCTGATGGAAAAAGTTCATTTCAGGTATGGTAGTTCATTATGCCATATTTTAGCTGTTCATATGTAAATCTCATTCCATAGGTTTTTATGGCAAGATATCTACATTTACTAATTTGCAACATATTTTGCAAAATCCTAAAGAATTCTTGTATTAATATTGTGTTGCTCCTCCAACATTTTTACTTCAGACATACAGTTGAGGTTAGTACATTATTATTTTAATCAGTTTCAATGGCTCAGGTAGAAATGTCTGAGGTTCGGTCTATTATTACTGGAGCAACTTCCAGAAGTCTTGTGCTCATAGATGAAATTTGTCGAGGAACAGAAACAGCGAAAGGAACCTGTATTGCTGGTAGTATTATTGAGACTCTTGATAAAATTGGTTGTCTAGGAATTGTGTCCACTCACTTGCATGGAATCTTTGATTTACCGCTTAATACCAAGAACACCATGTACAAAGCAATGGGAACAGAATATGTTGATGGAAAGACAAAACCAACTTGGAAGTTAATAGATGGGATCTGTAGAGAAAGCCTTGCATTTGAAACAGCTAAAAAGGAAGGAGTTCCTGAGACAATAATTCAAAGAGCTGAAGACCTTTATCTGTCGGTTTATGCAAAAGAGAATTCTTCAGAAAGAAGTGACAGGAAAGGATCGCAAGTGTGTTCTGAAACAAGGATTGATTGTTCTGTTGAAGCTGATCTCCATTTTAATAACATTGGTGTGGGATCTGTCCATCATAAGATTGAGTCAATGATGACAATGGAAGTCTTACATAAGGAAATCAATAGAGCTGTCACTGTAATTTGTCAGAAGAAGTTGATTGAGCTAAATAAGCAGAAAAACACATCTGAAATTGCTGGGGTAAAGTGTGTCTCCATTGCTGCTAAGGAGCAGCCACCTCCATCGGTTATAGGTGCTTCATGCGTCTATGTGATGCTGAGACCTGACAAGAAACTATATGTTGGACAGGTACTTCTCTGACTTACCTTGTGATTATGTTTCTTACAACTATAAGGTGGAATAGAAAAGCTTCAAATCAGTTTTACTTCATAAAGATCACTTGCACTGTAAAATGTCATGGAAATGAAGGTTTGTTTCAGTCAAAGACTGAAAATGCCAAAAGGGTTTTAATGCTCAAATGGCCTAACTAAATCAATAAGGTGACTAGAAACCTTATGTTTCAGCATTTGTTGCAATGCTATTTTTCTTTATATTGAATGGTTTATTGATAATGAACTTGAAGTATTTATTTATATCTTCTTCTCTTCATTTGTGGTTGTCAGACTGATGATCTCGACGGCCGAATCCGTTCTCATCGATCAAAAGAAGGAATGCAGACTGCCTCTTTCCTTTATTTCATAGTCCCGGGGAAGAGCGTAGCATGCCAAATTGAAACTCTTCTCATCAACCAGCTATATAATCAAGGCTTCCCTCTGGCCAACATTGCTGATGGCAAGCATCGGAATTTTGGCACATCAAATCAATTTGCAGAAACTTTGACTGTTCATTAATGAATCAGAATCCTTGACCCTACATTTTGTACAAGATGCTTTAGTTTGTGTGTTCCCATCTTATGTATATTCAGTGTAAAAAAATCATGTGGCAGTGGCTGCAACAATTTTGTATTTGATTCCAGTTGCAGTTTCAGCTGTCTCTGTCTCACATGGCAAGAAAAAATAACTGTTTATTTCATTGCCAGGGTACTTAATGTAGCTTTTGATGCTTGTATTGTATATTAATTCATTTCCTGAATCTGAGTGAGTGTTGCCAATTATATCCATGTCATAAGCTGCTCATTCTGATTGCTTTTTCTTATATTTATATGAATTCTAAATTTTGGAGTGTTTTAGAGAAATAGAATATGAGGTAATTGATTGAAAATTTCAGTGATTTCTCTATATTTATACTAAACTCAAATTTTCAACTATTAAGCTTAATAATCAACAAATATTATCAAATCTGAAATTATTTTAATACCTTGTCTAAAATTATTATTTCAGAAAGAAAGTGATTTTTAGTCCCATCAAATTGATTAGTATCCTCATTTTTTAAATTTTTTTTTTTTTTTTTTGTTTTGATAATTTAACATTTAGTTCTAACATAAACCATAACTCTAAATTTTTTAAATCATCGAAATATTTTCTTTCATTTCAAATATATCTTTGTTTGATGAAAATATATTTTTAAAGTTATGGAGAAAGTAATTATACCATGAGATGAATTTGAATATGAAGAAAGAAAAAGTAAGTTTCAAATTTAAAATTGGGAGATATGAGTATTAAAAAAAAAAATACCTAATTCAGTTTAAAATTAAGGAAATGTGTTGTAAACAAAAACTCTAATTAATTTTGAAATTGGGAAAAAGGTGTATATAAAAAAAAAAAATAAAAAAAATAAAAAAAGTGATGCTATTGACCCCCCACAATTTATCTTAGTAAAAGAATTCTAAAGGTCCAGGCCCAACCAAATAATTTAAGTAGACTCAGCAGCGGCGCGGCCCAAAATATACGGTTCACACTACTGTTCTCATTTCCCAAGCTCCCCGGTTCATTTGTCAAAAACGGAGCAAAACGAAAACTGTATAGTAAACATTAACCGTTTTTTCTCCGAAAATCCCATCCAATTTTCCTCACCTTCTGGCAAACCAAACAAAACATCCACAATGGACGAAGTGGTAGAGGCGGTGGAGAAAGCAAAGAAAGAGTGGGACGAAGCGTATGCAAAAACTCAAGAACACATAAAAGAAATTGAAAACTATGGGAAATCAAGGAGGGACAACACAGAGGAAAAAGAAAAGAATTCGTTTCCGAGATTGAATGGGCTGGCCCAAGATGGCTTGGCTTTGCTTAATTCATTGCAATTTCAGCTTGATCTACTAGCTCCGCAGCTGCCCACTCATGATCAAGTTCAGTCCGCCCAGTCGCTGCTTCAATCGTGGAAGAAAGAATGCAACAAGTATTCTATTTTCACTCTCTTTCTATACATAAATTTGCCGTTGTGTTTGATATTGAATATTTATATAAATGTATATACATATATAGTTATTTTGCTGACAAAATGAACGGAAAAGGTGGATAAATTTTAACTCTAAATCTAAATGAAACTAAGGTCCGATTCGTATGTGATCCAAAATAATTTTCAACCAATCAAAATAATCCGAATTGTATCTCATTGTATGAAAGTGTTTTTGATGTAATATTTAAAAGTTATTTTTAGAGTTAAAAACTATAGATGATTGGGAAAACATACTTTTTATTATTATGATTATTATTTTACACCATTTTTTTGGATTGAATCATTAGCCAATTTCATTATATAATATTTTTCTCTAGCTAGCTTCTCTTTTATGAGCATAGCTTCTGCTTGGTAGCTGAGAAAATGGAGGAAATTGGACTTCTGTTGACAATTGTTTTAGTTTATGCGAGAAGAAAGAAATTGAAATTTCTGCTAAAGTGAAATGGTTCGATAAGTATTGTCTCCAGAGGAGAATTTCTGTATTCATAATTTTAATTAGTTTTTATTTTCCTTGAGTTGTTTCTGAAAAATTGCAAATAGCTCTTAGATTTCGTTATTGTTGTAATTGCTTGTCTTGTTATAACACTCTTTTTATATTTTGAATCAGTTTGCGACTGAGTCTGAGGAATGCTAACTTGCAAGCAAAGGCTAATATGAGGAAAGCTGCCCAGGAAGAGGTATTGTATTTTATTATGAAAACGTGCTCAAATATGTTGTAAAAATCTGTAATTTTTTTCATATCATGATTACTCTTTTCTCAAATAGCTTAATGATTGTATAGTTGATTACACTTGTGATTCTTTTTTAAGAGTGATTCGGAGAAGTATGTGATTTCTTTTATATCCTTGTATTGGTTGTAGAGAGAACTACTTTTGGGTGGTGGAGAAGAGTCCACAATTCGCAGGCGCAATTTACAGTATGTATCACATTCTATAGTATAGCTTTCAGTGATAAAGTGGTTCAAAACCATCTCCATATTCCATATTCTTATAATCTCTCACTTGGCTTGTTATTTAACATGTATGACTTTGGTCTGAACTGTGTCATGATATTTCTAGGACAAAGGTTGGAATGACATCTGCTGCAGAAAGCATCACAGAGAGCCTTCGTCGAACTCGTCAACTGATGGTTCAGGTTTGTTTGTTTGTGTCTTTGCACGCATTTTTGTGTTTGTGTATCTTCTCACTTCTTCAGTTTATTGGATCTAAGTTTTCCTTTTATTTTTTATAGCCTACTTATTTGCCTTTGTTTTTGTATTCTTATGCATGTATAGGAAGTGGAAAGAAGTGCAGGCACACTCATGACTTTTGGTAGGTCTTTTCATTTCTCTATGTTCATTGAGAAAGGAAATTATTCTTCTATCCTGTTGGCTTTTGCTATAACAAATTGTTTATTGTTATTGTTTCTCTTATTTGGCATCTCACCTTAAATTTATTTACTTTTCTGTTTGAACAATTGAGTGAAACAAAAAGGAAAAAGATGTCATAAAAAACTTGCGGACTATGGATGTATCTGTTACTCAACGTTTTGCCTTCATCATTTAGTCAATGATACAGATGTGAACTTTAAGTTGTCAATTTAAAATAAAGAAAGGTGGATTCTTTTTATGACTGTGGCATGTGTAAATCAACAGACTGCTATCATTAGATCATTTGCTATGCCCTGTATAATTTCAAAAATAAAGTGTTGACTTTGCTTGGTATTTTGTTCACTCTGCATCTCTTTTCGAAGTTCAAGCACATTTCAGATGCCAGATTGGTCCTTGAGAGCCGTCTGACTTTCTTTGAGCTATTAGGATCAATCTCTTGACTTTTATCTTGTTAAAATTTAGTAGGGGCCTATCTATTTGGCAAGACTGCTCTTTGGGACTCTAATCTCTTAAAACTCTGGTAACTTTCCTCATTCTTTAGATCAAACTCTGGTGGCTGTTTCTTGACATCTATTTTACATACTGTATTTGACTGAACTTATTCTAGGTATTATGGTAGTTCTTCCATGGACTCTTTGGGTATGTTTAAGGCCAAGAGATATATGATTTTAAGACCTTAATATGTGGATACAGCAAGAAGAGCCCAAATGTGTGGCATTTTCTTTGTTTCTTTGGTGAACTTTTCTGTTCGTGTTGTAAGACAAAGGTAAATGCTTGAAAGCTGAATATAGTTTTTTGTATGTAACCTTTCAGAATTACACATTGTTTAGTAAACAAAATAGCGCTGCAATATTGAATTTAAAGGAATAAGGCATGTCTCTTAGAATGCTTGATTTTATAAAATGATTTTCTTTAGGAACCTCATCACTTAATAACCATTTGTGAATGATATTTACCAATTGCTGTGTGAAAGGTGCTTTCAGAATGACTGCTTAAAAATAAATTTAGGATATGGCTGTCCTTGCACTTCTTATTATCGAAGTGGTTTGGAGGAGCCTAGACTAATTATGTATGTGTTGGATTTTGTAGATGAATCCACAGGAGTGTTACGCAAAGCTGAAAGTGAATACAAGGGCCACCGCTCTTTGTTGATGCGAACAAGAAACCTGCTCTCTACAATGCAGCGTCAGGATGTTATTGACAGGTTTAAGGAAAAAGTCTACTCTCTTTTTGGTTCTAAATGATTGCATCAATTTGCTAGAACTCATGTTGAGTTATATTGGCCAGGGTGATACTTGTATTGGGAGTTTTCTTGTTCTCGTGTGCTGTACTCTATGTTGTTTCAAAGCGTATTGGGCTACTGACGTTACAGAGAAAGGTTACTGCTGCCATAAAGGCCGGCATGGCTGGTCAAGCAGAGATCAGACCTGGAGCTATTGAAGATGGTATAAATCTGGTGCGGGGTCATCGTGACAATGCAGTTCCAAGGGTAGAGGTTCCAGTTGAGCAGCCTATGCATGATGAACTTTAAGGCTTGATAGAATTTATCCAAAAAAGCTAATGGACATCCCCATGTCCTTATTTTATCACAGTTCACACAAATGAGTCAAAAAGCATGTCATCAAATGTACCATAATGGTTTTGTTGTACTCTTTGTATGAATGCATCATTTTTCTCTTGATGGCGTAAAAATTTAAGGTTCTTTAGCGGTGCCATGGCATTTTTATACGTTGGTTGTAAAGAATCTAGAATTCCTAGGGACAGGGTAGGCTTGTTTGCTTCCTTACGGGCATCAGTTACCAAAAAATTTCATTATATTCGTTTGCTTTATTCATAGACAATGGAATGTTACATTGGTATAAGTTTATGTTATTTTCGTTATTTATTTATTTATTTTGGGAGGGTAAGTAAGCTTTCGTTAGAAAAGAGAAAAAAAATATACAAAAGACCTATAAAAGGCGGTCAACTTACCCGAGGACAATCCCTTGGGTTAGAATCCAAAAAATAGCCTTTATAAGACTATGTATATACACAAAATCTCTTCCTACCTCGGGACATACCCCGGGTTAGGAACATAACCAAAGAAAGCTAAAAGATAATGCCCAAATAGATGACAAAAACATAAAAAAAAAAACCACCTTTACCCACATAGCTCCGTTATGCTTGACAAAAAACCTTCTCAATCAAAAGTTTGTCCTAGAGTCCCACCACCACCAAGGCCACATTTCATGTTTTGTTTTTCTATATTTTAGTTTCTTTCCTCTGGTTCATACATTTCATTTCTATGTTTCTTATAAAATATAAAGAAGAAAAGAAAGAAACCATATTCATCAAAAACAATTTAGCTGATATCACTGAATGTGAAGATATTATACATATGCAATAGTTTTAATAGCTAAGAGAAAAGGACAATGGTAAATTGCTGTATATATTTTGTTGTGCCAAAAAAAAGTTCTGACAAATCATAAACCAGAGAAAGCAAACTCCTTACAGAAGAAATGATATGTAGATTACAGTAATGAATGGCTATGCCAAGAGCCAGAAATTTTTATGGGTTTTCGTGTTGAGAAGATAGCCTGCATTTTGCCCTTTTCTCTGAACTCCAACACAAGTGCATTTGCTGTTCTCTATTAAATACTCCGCTGTGTCCATTCCCCTTGCCCCTCTTGATGCTCCTCCTGGCCGCTTATATCTGTTTCATTACAAACCACAAAGACAAATAAAATTTACAAACATTATAGTGCCTCATTTCTCTCTTGATAAAAATAACCCAATTCAGAATTCTAAAAACTCACCTTAGTATAGCATTGGAGAGATTTCGTCTCTGTCCTATAACAAGAAGATCAATTCCAATCATATTGGTGAGGGAAAGAATAACAGCAGCCTTGTTATTGGCATCCATTTGCACCCTCGAAACACTAACCTGCAATTTGGGTTGAGCAACCTCACATGCATGCTTCATTTGATCAAGAAAATCCTCCTCTCCGGCCGCAGGTGCTCCACCGTCAGAGGAGGAACACAAGGCAGAAGGCGTTTGATTGCTAGAAGAAGAGGTTTGTTTTTTGAGAAGAGTTGCAAATGGATTTTTCCATGCAGACTGATGCTCAACATGGATCAATATTAGCTCATCCTGCTCAACCAAAACATGGGAAAGTGCATATTGAAGAGCACCAGCTGACTCCCTGGTAGGGTCTGCAACCAACATTACTTTTCTTGGAGTTGAGTTCCCACCAGCTTCCATGTCTTGTTGTGGCGGCTGGCGGNCCACATTTCATGTTTTGTTTTTCTATATTTTAGTTTCTTTCCTCTGGTTCATACATTTCATTTCTATGTTTCTTATAAAATATAAAGAAGAAAAGAAAGAAACCATATTCATCAAAAATAATTTAGCTGATATCACTGAATGTGAAGATATTATACATATGCAATAGTTTTAATAGCTAAGAGAAAAGGACAATGGTAAATTGCTGTATATATTTTGTCATGCCAAAAAAAAGTTTTGACAAATCATAAACCAGAGAAAGCAAACTCCTTACAGAAGAAATGATATGTAGATTACAGTAATGAATGGCTATGCCAAGAGCCAGAAATTTTTATGGGTTTTCGTGTTGAGAAGATAGCCTGCATTTTGCCCTTTTCTCTGAACTCCAACACAAGTGCATTTGCTGTTCTCTATTAAATACTCCGCTGTGTCCATTCCCCTTGCCCCTCTTGATGCTCCTCCTGGCCGCTTATATCTGTTTCATTACAAATCACAAAGACAAATAAAATTTACAAACATTATAGTGCCTCATTTCTCTCTTGATAAAAATAACCCAATTCAGAATTCTAAAAACTCACCTTAGTATAGCATTGGAGAGATTTCGTCTCTGTCCTATAACAAGAAGATCAATTCCAAGCATATTGGTGAGGGAAAGAATAACAGCAGCCTTGTTATTGGCATCCATTTGCACCCTCGAAACACTAACCTGCAATTTGGGTTGAGCAACCTCACATGCATGCTTCATTTGATCAAGAAAATCCTCCTCTCCGGCCGCTGGTGCTCCTCCGTCAGAGGAGGAACACAAGGCAGAAGGCGTTTGATTGCTAGAAGAAGAGGTTTGTTTTTTGAGAAGAGTTGCAAATGGATTTTTCCATGCAGACTGATGCTCAACATGGATCAATATTAGCTCATCCTGCTCAACCAAAACATGGGAAAGTGCATATTGAAGAGCACCAGCTGACTCCCTGGTAGGGTCTGCAACCAACATTACTTTTCTTGGAGTTGAGTTCCCACCAGCTTCCATGTCTTGTTGTGGCGGCTGGCGGCTAATGGCCACTGCCACCACCACCACCAATGCTGCAAAGAGGGTTTAAATTGGGGTGAAGAAATGGCACAGAATATCATATGTTCATTATGTGTTCGGTTTATCCGGGAAACAATTGAATGCTAACAAATTTGTAGCCTTCAAATTTGTGATTCACAGACTAAGTTATGTAGAATCGTGGCTAAATTTGGGGGTGAAGAATTACATGCTAATTCAGGGATATGTGCTTGCATTTTAGAGAACATCATTAGACTTGGTCAATCCCATCCTAATTTTGTTTGTGATTCCCAAACCCTTTTTTCATAACAAAATTATGAAATATTAACTGTTTTAATCAATTCATTTTTCAGTTGTTTTGTCACAAATGGAAATATTGCAAAATAAAATAACAGTATGTAACAAATAATAATTTATTCTTTTACCCACCTAATAATTCATCAAAATATTATATTTTTAATATTTGTATTTATTCTCTTGCCTCTGTTGTGTAGCATATGACAATATAAAATACCAGATAAACCAAACTAAGTAGCACTAACTTCACCTCAGGTTGAATTGCTCCAAAACTGAGGAAATTAATATACAAAACAACCTTTCATAATTTATCCTTTAATCAAAACACCAAGCTCAGCCGGAGCATAATACAAGAACAAGATAAACTATCATGTTGAGATATTGTATTTTATTTTATTTTTTAAATAATATGACAGCAGAATAGCCATAATTATAAGCCACTAAAATGTCAGAACAAAGGCTTTTTTTTTTTTTTTTCATATTATGCATGATACGATTAAATTAAGCCTACAAAATACTGTCAAGTATTATAAACAATCAGAGTTGGGAGCTTGAACTACCAATTCGGGCTTAAACATCTGTTTTTGTCAGTAGACACTGTAATGCAAAACTCCTGAGACTGCCAATGCCTGCTGCATCCTGTCATATAGGCAGCATCGGCTTCCATTGGTAGGTAAATATTAATCTAGCATCTTGTAGACTCAATGAAAGATCCGACACCACGATGGACATTACTGGAAGCTGGCACGTAATAAAAAAAGACCTGCCTACCAACTTTTCAGCTTTTGGCATTTAATTTCTCTATAAGGATCTTGTTCAGAAGCCCTGGATTTGCCTTGCCTTTTGATATTTTCATTACCTGCTTGTCAACATAATAAAGAGAACAAGTACATAGAAAAAATAGTTAGTTAATGAGTCCTCTATCTGTACTTGTCTTAAGTTCATATATACTATAGGTTATTTTAGGATAATTTGAAAGTACATATTAAATACATGGCATGCCATCATAATATTTATCTTCAACTGGAGAATTATAAGCAGAAGTGTGTCTGGTCTGGTCAAAACCTGGCAATAGTTTTTGGTCATTTGAACTGAAGTCCTATATAATAGTTGATTTATGTTAAAATCATCTTTAAAGAATTTAACTAGCGGATTTCAGGCAAAAGTATAAAGCTAGATCCCTAACAAAGGATTATTATACAGTATGGAATGGGTTTCAATATTCAATCGAAGGTACCAAACTAAGAGAGAGTTTTTCATACTATGAAGAAGTAGCTCTATGTTTATGCTGCACTCCATAATTATAAAAATGGTCCACCGAAATTTGCAACATTTGTTTACCTGACCAGCAAAAAATCCTTGTAGCTTTGTTTTGCCCCCTCGATATTGCTCCAGCTGCTTTGGATTCTCTGAGAGCACTTTGTTCACCATTTTTTCAATTTCAGAAGGGTCTACTATCTGCAATGTTAGGAAATGTGAGAACTCTCCACCCAAGTGCCTATCAGTCTATCACTCATAACATGCCTATCATTTTGATCATCAGACAAAGCCTATTTTCTATCCAATGCATAAATACTCTCCTTTATATCACGTCACTAAACAAAACAACCAACCCCATTTCGAGGTGTAAAATCAAGGGAACAAGGGACGTGAACTGCTTGAAATTGTTCAGCCTTGTCAATTGCTTAAATGACCCAAAGCTCGACATTGAGTAGACTACTTAACAAGTTGAGCTCAGGCCAACAGCTAGAATGAATATTAATGACATATTTACCCATTTGAATTATTTCTCTTTAAACAAGCTCCTGCAACAAAGTTTAAAACTTACCTGAACCAAATCCCTCTCTTCTATAATTCTCTTGACAGTTCCACCTTTGGCCATTAGCTCAAAGAGAATCTGCAAATGTTACAAGAGAATAATATGAAAAAACAAAAAATTCAGACAATCATTGCATGATACACAAAACCACTCACCCTGTAGAAACTCAAAGTTTTGACCAACCAAACTTCCCATCCTAAAGAAAATAATTGACCTAAGGCTATAACTTCTTGAGTTACCACTAATCTAAAAGCTATGCATGACATGGAGATGCTAATTATAAAATCTAATTTTGCTTTGAGTAGACAGGACAGCAATTTTAACCTTAGTCCTAGCATGCCTTTAGGAAACTTATGTCTCCTAAGTACTCCGAGAAAATCCAATTATATGCTTTAATTAACACTTGTCAATTCAACTTGCTTTTTCTGCATGTGAGGCTTCTATAATCTTACAATGAGGGGGGAAAAAGAATACAGTAAAATCTTCATACTGAAGAGATAGTCGAAAATGGGAAAAAGGTAAATAAAATTTACTCTTTGAAAGCTAAATTAGCTATTACAATCCAATCACAAAACAAGGTTAGGACTCAAGCATCCAAATTAATGGACCAAACACAATTAGACTCCAGATTAAAGTCAGACGAAGTATTAGATAATGAGAAAAATAGAATGTGAAGTAGCTTTAACAATGGAAGCAAACTTTTACCTCTTTTCCAATCTTCCCACTAATAGTCGAACTCTTTATTGAAGCAATGAGCTCAGCTAGCTCTTCTGAAGAAAGTTTGATCTCATTTATAGACAATTTTTCATTTTTCATATAGGCTGCAATATCACCCATAATCCAATTCGCTGCCAGTTTCACATCAGCACCCTTTGCAATAGTCGCATCAAAAAATTGGGCAACCTGAGATATTCATTCAGAAAAAAGGTCAAAATATCTTAGATCATTCCAACATGACCTGTGTTAAGGAATAATGTAATACCATAAGCAGATATAATTGAGAAAGCATTTGAGGATTAAACCATTCTGTCCTTCCCACAAGGCAGATTCGTAGGATGATATCACAAGGCACAGGCCTCAGGCTTAAATAATTTGGGGACTGATGTTAATTTGAGAGGAATTCAGAAGGCACATGTTGATCCCTTGAAGCTCACCACATTTAAATGGTGAATTATAGGATCATAAGAGTAGGACAATAATTGTACATTAAAAACGGGGAAAACAGATGCCTATCGCTGTAATACCATCCAACATATCCGATATAGACACACCAGACTATATAAAAACTTACATTCATGTCATTTGCAAGGAAAAGGACATCCTGCATGCTTAGGCCCATCTTCTCATACCTCTGGCGCTTCATTTCTGGAAGTTCTGGCAAAGAGCTACTAATGCTATTAATATATTCTGCAGAGAGAATAACTTCTGGAAGGTCGGGCTCTGGAAAGTATCGGTAATCAGAAAGTCCTTCCTTTTTCCTCATTGTAATTGTTTTCTAAACAGTATAAGAGGTTTACAGAGCATGTAAGTAGTCTTGAAGCATCAAACTTAAATTGAATATTTCAGATTTTGCACTAAAATGGAATCTAGATATGGCTATGACCTGTGCACCTTCTTCCCAAAGACGAGTTTCCTGAACAATTTGATCACCTTGGCCTTGACTATAGAGAAGTGCCTGCCGTGCTATCTCAAAATCAATGGCCCTATTAATTGATGAAAATGAGTTCAAATTCTTTATCTCAACCTGCCAATACAAAATATAGTCAAATGTATGAGCTGTCAAAAACAAAAAAGAAAAAAAAAAAAAAAAACAATTCGTTCTTCAGAAATTGTTATAAACAAAGCAATATAAGTTATTTCGTCTTGCTGATAAATGCAATTGAAATTATCACAAGAAATAATAAATATGTTGTTAGAGCTTAAATACTAGTATTAAGCTCTTACATATTAGTTTTAGTTTTTGGACTAAGTGATTGCTTAGCATGGAATCAAAGTCAAGTTGAGCAAGTGGTTTGTGTTCGAATCCGCAATCATATTAGTTAAATTATAATAAATTCTGCATGTTATTCAGGTTGTATTTGTGGTAATGGTTGTTTTTGTCCACTTGCACTGGTATGAGGGGGTGTCTTAGATCTTGAATAATATTGTTAGACCACTAACTATCAGCTTAAGCTTTTAGGTGAAGTGGTAGCTTAACATCTGTCATTAAAAGAAGTCAAATCGGAAGCCAAAGCAATATCAATGGTTTCTGCTCTCATCCATTCCTCAAAAAGCTATAGATGGCTTTGACCACCTAAAATTACTTTCACAGTTTAAGAATGCAATTTTAAAGGCTTCATCAAGTTTGAAACATGATCGCACAGATTCTTATCAGGATATCCTTGAACCCTAAATACCCACAGCAATTCACAGGATCGTAAATTTTTTTTTTTTTTTTCGTCAAAAACTGAAAATACTAAAGTAAAAGGGCACTTACTAACCTTTGTCCCAAATTCTAATTGTCCAACTGGTCGAATTGAGACATTCACATCACAACGTAGTGAACCTTCTTGCATATTCCCATTGCTAACTCCCAAATACCTAACCAACCTCTGCAATTCTGCTGCATATTCCGCCGCTTCAACTCCAGTTCGCATATCGGGTTCAGAAACAATCTCAAGCAAGGGCACCCCTGCTCTATTCAAATCAACCTGCAAAGCATAACCAACATGGTCATCAAGGCAATGGCATACAACAATTGTCAACTTGATAATCAATCCTCAATTTCAGAATAAAACAATGTAATATAGAGAACAACTTTCTAGCAAACACCAATCAATAAAAGCCTCTAAACGTGACAAAGAATCTTTATTGTTGAATCCTTGCTCGAATAATTTCACAAACAATATCAATTTTATAGCACTCAAGCTTTAGAAAACAATGAAAAATAGAATGCAATCAATAGAAGAAGCCAACGTTATCAACAGAAAAAACAAATGATAAAATGAATAGTGTAATGTACATAGAAAGAAACTGGATAATACTAATGTAAAATATGAGGAATAGTGTTTTCCTGTGAGTAATCCCCATCTTCTGAATGAAGTAGTTTGCCTGCATCCTCTTCCATATGAACTCTAGTAATGCCAAACCTCCTATGGCCACCACCAAACTCAATAGGAAGATCCACATCCAAGTAACCACCAGTTGCAATTGGGATATCAAACTGTGATATTTGGTAACCCTTTGGAAGATCTGGATAAAAGTACTGTTTCCTATCAAACTTTGAGTTTAAAGAAAGCTTGCAATTCAAAGCAAGGCCTAGTTTCACCGCCGACTCAATCACTTTGGAGTTTAGAACTGGCAAGGCCCCGGGCAAACCCATACAAATTGGACAGATACTAGTATTCGGTTGAGAGCCGTAGTTGTAAGGGCAGCCACAAAAGGCCTTGGTGAGTGTGGAGAGCTGGACATGAGTTTCTATACCAATAATTGCCTCATAATCTTTAGCTATTTTATCAAGTGTTTTAGCTTTGTTCTGTTGGTTTTGTGGTGTAACTCTGATTTGCTGCTTCTCTTGTGTAGCTGTCTGGCTATGTGTGCTCTTCATTGTACAATAAAAAACACCATTGCTTCTTCTAAGTAATGTGGTTGGGTAGAGCATAAAAGAATGAGTTTGAATGGTTCTAAACAATGTAGAAGCCATGTTTCTATAGCTTATTTACTCCAAATAGGAAAATCAAACAACACAAGTGTGGCCTCTGCATAAAATCAAACAGGTAATCAGCAAGATACAAAACATAAGTTAAATCGAAAATCATGATCATAATAATAAATAAATAAATAAAAACACTCACCAATGGCAGATTTTTAGTGTGATGATTGGTTCGACGGCTACGGGTGAACTGGAAGAGGGAGAGTTGGTTTCATAAAAACACTGAAAAGGCAAAAATTTGATTGTGTGTAACTGTAGAAGACAACACTGAAATGTAAAGGAGAGGAAATTCAAAAGCGAAAAGAAGAACGTGTAGTGTATTTACAGTATGGAGAAAAAAGAACTGAAGAGAGGATTGACAATGGTTAACATCTCATGCAGCAAATAGACCGGGAGAATGACTTTGCAATTACAGCCTTCCAACAGTCATCCATTTGAACAAAACCAACACAAAAACAAGCTTTAAATTAGAAATTTATAACTTTTAAGTGCACAGTTTACAATAATGTGGGCGTGCCGGAGTGGTTATCGGGCATGACTAGAAATCATGTGGGCTCTGCCCGCGCAGGTTCGAATCCTGCCGCTCACGCTTTTTGGAAATACGTTTTTGCTTTTTAATCCTCTAATAAGTTCTTATGAATATGATATCAAACTCATGCATGAAATATAAAATTTAAACAGTGATGTTAAACATAAAATATTGTAATATAGTAAACATTAATAATCGACCATCATTTTATCAATTCTACAAAAGAACAAATTAATCAAAACAAAAACAAATGAAATCCCACCAAAATTGTGATGATTTCTCTAGAAAAGAAAGGTCAATATCCTGTAAAACATTACGTATGTAATATAAAGCGGAATTTAACTACTTACCTCCAGCCATATTGTTCAAGTGTTGTAGAAAGCTAAAACGTGAATGATTTGTGAGTTGAGAGTTGTCTTCTAGCCTATGCCTCCAAACCTTTTCTTTTCTTTTGTATTTTTGTGATATATCTTTGATGGAGAAGATATATCTTTATATATGGCTAGGCTAGGGACTAAGTAACTCCCATCAACTGCCTTTTAACCTCTCATCAAGGATCAAATGAGGCAGTTAATAACTCCTTTAAACCAATCATCAAAATACCAAACTTCAGTAGAATTTTTGCCTAATGCATAATTTTTTGTAGTGCATATGATACCATGGTATGGTTGATGCTTACCCTCTGATTCCGTCCAACAATTAGTCCACAGTCTTGCAGTATGCAAGCTTTGCCTCACGACCATAGATAACTAAAACAAAAATCGTCTAATGACAAAAGAACTTTGTTTATGAGATAGATTCTCATGTAGATTTAACCTGTAAGAATCTATATAATTCCTATTAGTGATATAGTAGATGCAATATTCACCATAAAGATCACTTCTCTCCATTTCAAGAATACCCATATCAAAGAATTCAGACGACGGAGCTGCATTTTAAACTTGTAAAGAAGGGTCTAAATGAAGAGGAGCAACTCTTTCCTCCAACCATTTGATGATCCAATGCAGCAGCTCTCACTCATCTCGTAACACACATTCTTCAACTCAGAAACCTTCTTTGTTTCAAACTCGAGAAAACGATAACCGTTGTCGTCTCTTTCATCTTCATGGTTAACCAAATTACTTGTAATTAACCAAAACATCCATTTAATAACATTATAGTTATGACTTACGATACAGTAATAAATTTCCGTATAGTAAATATTAAGTTTGATTATTTTTTATGTGATTACTTATATTTCCTACGTACTAAATATTTTTTTATATTTTATACAATTTCTTTTCCGCAATTATTTTTGAAATGTTACAATTTTATTGTCTGTAAACAGAAGTTATCCAATTTGCATTATAAGCTTATTAAATCATATAAAATTCTTATTATTTTTATGCATGGAACGAGTCAAATAAAAGAAGAATATCAATAAAAATTGGCTTACAATCTAATCTTATAAATTTTAATAAAGATTGACTCATAACCTAATCTTATAAATTTTCTTTCATAACCCCGACGTGGTAGCTCGCAATTGATCAACTTGTAATTGGATAAGTGGGATTCATTGCGAACTAACTAATTACAAACTGTCACGTCAGAGTTGTGAGAAACAGTTTATGACATTTGATTATAAGTATCGTATTGCTCGAAGAATACTTGGTATGGGGATATAATTTTATATAAAATAAAAGAAAAACAAGTTTCCCCCTAATAAAAAGTCGGATAACGTTAATCCATGTAGAAGAGTAGGCATATTAATTAAGATAAGAATGAGTTAATTCCCTTGGCACATATCAGTTAATTAACAATGGATATACAACTTTAGATAAAGACATAATATTCTTATCTAATCATAAAGATTCTATAGAATTATTGATCGCCAGTCCAAATTCATTAAATTTAGGGTAACTTTTTGATATTAATGGATGAGTAAAAAACTAAAAGGTTACATACTTTTATTCTAAAAACAATATGATGTGCTAAAATTATAAAATTGAAGTTATAGTTACCTATTGAATGTCTTTTGTATATACTTTTACGCAACTAAAACTTAAGTATTTATTCTGTTGAAAATTAATAAAATGGGAGATTGTCATATACTGTCTTTAACGTTTTCAAATTTATGATTTGGATGATAATTTTTTGCATAGACAACCTTTTGCGCTAACTTTGTCATGTTGTTGTTAGGTTTGCAAAATATTTTTTTATAAGACCAAAAGTTAATCATTTTACTCATTTACCACAAGAGGAGTTAGGGTAAAGGAGTATTCATGATGCAATTTCAAATTTTGAGGATAGTCTATGATGAAATATATATATACATTTGTAAGTTGTCATCCGGATAATAGATTTAGAAACCTTAAAGTAGTCTGTGATATTCTCCCGTTATAAAATTATGTAGAAAATTTTCTCACCTCTCAAACAAATAATAAATAAAAGTAATGAAACCTTAGAATTAGAGATAAAGAAGCATCTACAGAAGTAAAGCATGTTTAAAATAATAACAATTTTTAAATTTTATTAAACTAAACACAATTTAAATCCAAGGTGTTTAAAGCATTTCACTCTGTGTTTGTTAACTGTTTCTATCATATTCTATCCCTATCCTACCCAAAATACATATTTGTTTCTCTATTCTGAAAATCCAATTTTATTTTATTCAACTATTTTAAACCCCCTAGGTTTGTTAATTTAACTAAGCACCCCCCAAAAAATTTAGAAATTGACAAAAACACACCCACCCACCCACATTTGCTAGATTTTGGCCACCACCGCCAGAAGGTGGTTAGTCAAAATTTAGCGTAATGGCGCACTATCAGCTAAATCTGGCCGGTAGTGAGCCGATCTAGCATTTTTCGGCCAAATTCACTGTTGATCTAGTTGGAAAAAGCCAGATCCATGGCCATAACTGGTCGTCAGCAACGGCCAAGATATGGCCGTAGCTGGTTTTCAATGACAGCCAAGATATGGTCAGCGTTGACGACCAAACGTGGTCAGATCTAGCCGTCAACGGCCAGATTTGGCCACAGATCTGGCCTTTTTCGAGCCATATCGGCGCACGACCAGCCAAATCCTGCCTGGTCGTGTGCCATTATAGCAACTGTCGGCCACCCTCCAGTGGTGGTGGCCGACTGCCGGCATTTAATGGGTAGGTGGGGGTATTTTTATTAATTTTCAATGTTTTATTGTAGAAGTGTTTAGCTAAATTAACAAGCTTGTGGGTGTTTTTGTTAATTTTCAAATCCTACCTCGTAATAACCACCCAACTTAACTTTTTCAAAAATCCTATTCAAAATAATAAAGCAAACACACCCTCAATCTACTAAATTAAGTTTTTCTGAATAATACATTTTATTAAATGTCTTTGTCTCTACACTACCTTGTGTTTGGTTGGGGATAATCCCCTATTACTCTACTAATGTCATTTTATATTACTGATATTATCATGTTTAGTTGTCAAGCAATAAAAAATTTCGGTAATCCTCCAATACCAATAGTAATTACTATAAGTTAGATAGGTGGTAACCTGAATACCACCATTTTCTTAGGTATTCTAAGATTACTTGGTAATCTTAATTTTGTTACAATTTTATCCCTAACTAATAAAATGTTTGGACAAGAATGCCCCTGTTTTGAAAACAATTTCTAAGAATATTCATAGACTATTTTATCCTTATACACAAGATTTTTAAGACATTATTACCCTTGTACTTCAACCAAATTACCTAAGACCACAGCCGGATCTGCCCACCACTATTGACCACCGATAGACATCGTCAGAATGATGCACAATTGGTCGGATCTGGCAGGCCGTACACCAATTTGGCCATTTCTAGCAAAATCCCCGTGGATTTGGCCAGAAAGAAACAACCAGATCTATGGATGTGGCCAAAAACGAATATGTCTACCTCTCAAACAAATAATAAATGAAAGTAATTAAACCTTAAGGATAGTCTATGACATTCTCCCATTATAAAATTATTTAGAAAATTTTCTCACCTCTCAAACAAATAATAAATAAAAAGTAATTAAACCTTAGAATTAGAGATATAGAAGCATCTACAGAAGTAAAGCATGTTTAAAATAATAACAATTTTTAAATTTTATTCAACAAAACACAATTTAAATCCAAGGTGTTTAAAGCATTTCAATCTTTTGAATTAAGTTTTTCTTAATCATATATTTTATCGGTTCTCTTAGGGGGTATTTGTCTAAGCTTATGAAAATTAGCTTATAAACAATTATTATTTTAAAATTTTATTAAACAAAACACAATTTAAATCCAAGGTGTTTAAAGCATTTCAATCTTCTGAATTAAGTTTTTCTGAATCATATATTTTATTGGTTTAATTAAGATGGTAATAAGAATAATAGCATATAATTGTATCTCAAGTGATGTTAATTAATTAGTTTGACTTGACTTGAAAACTAACTTCATAAATCACTTAAATTATAAATTATGCCCTCTTCATTTAACACGTTTTAAATTTATTATGTCTCTCTCAATAAATCCAAGCTAAATGTTAAATTTCTATAATATTACATTTATAAAGTTAATATGTTTTAAATCAAATTGATGAAATAGTTTATTTCGCCAATGATTTTGTCACCACCATCATAATTAAAGAGCCAAAATATATGACATATGACACGATTATTAATGATAATTAATTGACCAAATACAATTACAAACGGGGAAGAAATGAGTTTAATACTAGTCACCTTTAATCTATACTTTACCCTAATCACAATTAACAAAAAAAAAAAAAAAATAACTAAATATAATGGTAAAAATTGAAAGTACTTATATTCTTTCCTTTTATATTTTATAAGAATGAAGTCACCGTAAAAACAAATTGAGCTTATGTTTGGAAAGA